AATTGTAAACTAATGCAACCTTCACAGAACCTATCAGAGTATCTTGTCAATTTACACTTGTTACATTCTTTTGGTTTTCCTTCTTTATAAATTGCATCCTGTAATTCAAGCTCATAAATAAACCTTTGCTTACAATACTCTTTTTCATTTTCAGAAAGCTCCTTGTTTTTCTTGAACAATGAAAGAAAATAATCTTTTTCATTTTCTCTATCAGTATTAGCACTAACATTATTACTCATTTCATTATAAATTTTAAATGCAAATCTCTTTCTTCCTAATGATAACGATGATAATAATTTATTATGTGACATTATATAAAAATATAAAATATTTTGACTGTTTTAATGTGGGAGATTTTTGTGTGTAATGGTTACATTATTTCCTTTTTCTTTGCGACAATCGATTTATCGTGCGTGATTCAACAATAAAAGAAATTCTTTGGGGATGAAGATAGAAAACAAGATTAATACTTACAAAAATATGTACCAAAACCTGACTTATGTGCTATGTAAAGGTCGTTCCAAGTACCAATATTGATCAACCTATGTTGCTTCAAACTCAGACACCCAAGAACATGATTAATATTATTATTACGTGTAGTTCTGTAGTTAACTTCAAAGTCAAAAATTCGAAAAAACATCAATTTAACACAAGTCATATGCATCTAAAGACAATTTGATTTATGAAATGTAATAATAAAAGAATAGCCTTAATTTGTAAAAGGAAGAGGCATTTTTATTTTGAAAGAAAGTACACGGAAACAATTAGTTTAATTAATTCAAATTATAACATTGGTAAACTTCCCATGATAATTAATAGTTAACCCTGGGTAGACGGGTATTATTCCAGTGGTTTAACTGATTTATCCCCCGCCATTTATGTCATTTTTATGTGTAACTTTTTCCACTATCAAGAAGATTTGTTGGGTGGTTAATAACAAATTAATTTATTCTTTTCTAAAATTTGTATATTTAATCTCGCCTCGCGGAATGTTACTATTACTAAAAAACTATTACACATTCTAAATTTACAAAATAACATTGGTAATTTTAATTTTTAAAAATGGGGAGATTTGGTAATATATATTTTTATATTTATTATAGGAACCTAAGTTGAACATAGCTTTACATTGTTCTATTACTGGACTTAATTGTTATAGATTACAAAATGAAAATCAAAGGGTCACTGTAGCTAACTTACTCTTCCAGATATTTTGAACAATGATTCAAATCAGTAAATGTTACAAGCGAAACCCACCCAGTTACTACTGAAACAGATAATACATGCGACTTGATGTAATGATCAAGATGCAATTTCCAGTGTTGATGATTCTATTATTTCTAGTAATGCTTTTGATTTAAATAAAAGTGTTGATCCATATCACGCATTCAATGATATTTCCAACCATTTAAAAGATCAAACAATTATAATGAATTGAAGGACATAAATTTAAATTTATTAAATGTCATAATATTACTATATATTAATATTCAGAAATAACAATTACTATTAAATACTCACTACTTCAAACAATTGTATTTTTAATATCTGTTTGTATTACTTGTAATGTTTTGCATTTTATAAATAAAAAAAATAGACTATCGTAAAATTCAACTGGGCTTGAATTTTTCTAGTGACTGAAAAATGGTATAAATGAGGTTACACGGGGGATAATTATTCTTTTTGAATCATTGCAATATTCCTACATACAATGATTTTATTCATCCCCGGGACACATATTTTTACATAACTTTTGATCATTATCATTATTGCTGCTTGTATCAAGTGTTTTTACTTGTATCAAGCATTTTTACTTACGTCAAGTGTTTTACTTACGTCAAGTGTTTTTAATTACGTCAAGTGGTTTTACTTTAGTCGAATCGTCAAAATGGTCCTGGTGAGGAACTTTCTTTAGTCAATAATTTAGTTACGTCAATGACTAAAGTCAAAAGTTTCGTCGCATGTCATTAATGACTACCAAGATTGTAGAAACTAATCCATCTCTTTTGGTGACTTTTCCACCTTATGAACATGTTAAGATAGGTTTTTTGACACAAGAAGCATACCATGATTCCAGCAATAGAAGGCTATTTTATTGGATCGAGTTTTCTTTTTGAAGCGTCTCCATTGCTATGAGTTCTGTCTTATGTTGATTTAGAGAGAACTTGAAAGGAATTTATGTAATTCTGCGAATTCATTTTTTGGGACCACTGCTGAGCAATCACAATTATCACAATTACAAAAAATGAATTTCCCTTTCATACTCGGTAGAACTATCATATTTATTCTTATTCATATATATATAATTTTATATATGTGCCTGATAATCACTGTGAATACATAGAGTTTTTTAGGTCAATGTTGTTTGTTATTGTTCTGCTAAACCTCTTGTTGATTATCATTTCTTTTGGATATGATAAGATTTCGGTTATTGGTAATACAAATGCCGAAAACCTTTGCTCTGACTAAAACACTGAATAAACAAAAAAAAATTTTTTTTTTGAAGGATTTAAAAAAGAAATTTTAAAGTTAGAGTAATTTAGTCTCGGTTTTTTGATTCTTTTTCAAGTATTAGAGTGTTAATTTGAAATTGGACGCATAGAGAGATGAGTGGAAGTTATAATAATCACAAGTCCCAGAGCAACGTGGAATGGTTTGCTGTAAAAGTCCTATGAGCGGAGTACTTGAAATTGGAGAAAGATTGAAGAAAATATCTCTTAAATCGTTTGCAGAATCAATATTCTCTTTACACGTTTATTTATAAATAAATGTTTGTATTGTGAAATAATTTATTACTTTTACATATATATATATATATATTCATTTGTTGTGTTTACAGTTCGAAAGACGATTGTTTTGAGGAGCATATAAATTTTTTGCTGTCTTTCACCACTTCTGTTTACATTAAACATCAAACATGCCTAATAAATAGCATAAAAATTAGATCTTTTTTTCATTTCTTTTATATATAATTTTTTAAGCGTGTAACTTTAAATTTTTAAAATATAAAAATGAGCTTGCTTGAATATAAAAAGTATATAGAAGAAGGGGATTTGGTAATTGCTTACTTTGTAAGTAATTATTCCTTCTATAAGATTATTCAGTTTGTAAAAAAAAACCATAAAATTTATTCATTATGCTTTATTTATAGTCCCGTGAAAATATGATTCCCATCATAGTAAACTCAAAGTCAACGTATAATAATAAATTTGGAACATTTAGACACTCAGATATGGTTGGAAAAGAATATGGTATTAAGGTTGGTTAATAAAGCCTAAAAACCTTTTTTCTTTAAAGGCTTAATTAAGTATATATATATATATATATATACACACACACACATATAGTTGCTATCACACAATGGAAAAGGTTTTATGTACCTTTTACATCCTACACCTGAACTATGGACACATGTTGTTCCACATAGAACACAAATTTTATATCTGGCTGATATTTCATTTATAACAACGTATCTTGATTTAAAGCCTGGATCAATAGTGTTAGAATGTGGTAATTAATACTAATGTCAATCAATACCAATAATAATAAAGAAAAAAGAAAAGTATTAAAGTTAGTTCTATTGGAAATTATTAATTAATTAAAGGAACTGGTAGTGGATCATTTTCTCATTCTTTAGCAATAACAATTGCACCTCATGGACACTTGTATACTTTTGAGTATCATGAAGAACGTGCAAAAGCTGCAAAGTAATTATATATATAATCTATAAAAATATTCTGATGCAAATAAATATTTTTTCTTTCCCAATTATTAATTTCTTTTTTTTATTTATTTTTATTTTTTTTGAGACAAGATTTTGAAGAGCATAGTCTTTCTGATGTAATTACGATAGAATGTAAAGACGTTTGTAAAAATGGGTTTGGACTTAAAGATTTGGTGGATGCTGGTGAGACTATCATAAATATATATAATATATATACAGTGTGTATACTTTATACTAAATATAGATTATATTTTATCTTGAATAGTTTTTTTAGATTTGCCTGCACCTTGGAATGCCATTTCATCAGCCAAAGAAGCATTTAAGGTATTTTTATAAACATGTGTGTATATTATTAGGCATATATAAATAAATAATTCTTTGAAATCACTTAGCAAAATCGTATAGGTAAAATATGTTGTTTTAGTCCATGTGTTGAGCAAGTACAGAAAACATGTGCATTTTTAAATGAGAATGGATTTGTTGGTAAGTTTTCCAAAAGAAAAATTTTAAAAAAAAATATTTTTATTTTATAAACGTATTAAATAATCGTTTATTCATTTCTGAAATAGAGATAAAAATGTTCGAATGTCTTATTCGTAATCATGAAGTAAGAACTATACCAATTTATAAAGTTGAAGATGCTGTCAACCACATTAAAGCTCAAAAAGAGAAAAAACGTAAACGTAAAGAAGAGCAACAAAAACAAGATGAAATAACTGAATCACCATCATCTTTAACAACAACAATAAACAACAACAACAACAACAACAACAACAACAACAACAACAACAACAACATCAACAACAACAATAACTCGTCATCTCAAGGAAAACAACATCAAGATTGTCCAAATTTATATGTTACCAAAAATCCAATAGAAACTAGAGGTCATACCAGTTATTTAACATTTGCTACATTTCTACCTAATATTGTCCTAGACAATGATGATGATGATGATGATGATAATTCAAATATTTAAAAACTTTCTTTTAAAAAAGATCCAACTGATATTAATCCATCACATATTTCAATTATTTTATTATTCATTTAATTTCAACCAACAAATAAAACTTAGAGAACGTACATACGACACGGATTAAATGGTAGGTTACCATAATAAAAAGCTAAATTATGTTAACAATGTAAATCATAATCAAAAAATCATCCGTTAAGATTTAGAATTCCGCTAAATATTTCTAAATATAAATAACTATTTGGGCCCTACAGCCTTCCAAGCAATGATTATTTTTGCCTCAAACTTTTCATGATTGTGGGCCAATCCTTAATATCTAAAAGATAAAAAATCATTTCTTTGGCCATAGCACTTCTATATCCAAGTTTCTAATAAACAATTAGTTGTATTTGATCGGCGTGTATACATACATATATATATATATACAAATCTTAAATTTAGGCAAACAATTCGATTTTTTTTTGCAAGTAGGTTTATTCTTAATATTAATACTATCTATAAATTGTCGAACTTCTACCCTATCAGTAGAGGAGCTGTTACAGGTGTAGATGGCGAAACTTTTAATGACCCACAAATTCTTTTGTAGTACATTCGATATCAATTTAATTAACATTTGTTTTTCTATTTTTCCATGTGGTATTGTTTTCTTTGTCGTTGCAATAGTCACTACCACCACCACCAGAATTGCTGTTGATGCTACTACTACTAATACAATTATTATGGTTATTGCGATCATCACTACCACCACCAGAATTGTTATTGATACTACTGCTACTCGCACAATTATCATTGTTATTGCAATCATCACTGTCACCACCGCCAGAATTATTTTTGATACTACTATTACTCGCACAATTATCATTGTTATCATCGTCACCACCAGTACTATCATTAAAAGTGTTGCCATTGAATTGACTAAAACAGGATTGACAATTAATTATTTTATTTAAAAAGAATTTATTTTATCAAAATTAGACTGCCCTGTTCGAAAGGATCTGCATCGAAGCTCGAATCTATTTTGCTGGTATAGCCGAGTGAAATTAACAATTAATTATTATTTTTTAACTTTGTAAATATTTAGAACTTTTTTATTAACATCGCTTTCTCTCTAAAGAAATTCACAACTTGTGGAAATATCAAAGATATTGCTTGTGATAGTGCTACACTACTAGAAATGCATTTCTCGACCATTCTAGACATGTTTTTTATTAGTTATGATATGTTTCATATGGAATATTTGACCACTATTCTTTAAAACAACAACTTCCAATTCTTTTTCTTTTTTGGATACCGTACACGCATACTCAACCGTCTTTTTAGTTCATTCCATAAGTGTTCAATTGGATTTGGATCTGGAGATTGTGAAGGCATGAAAGTAAAGACTTTCTTGTATGAGGTAGTCTTGTTTTGTTGATTGTTAATGATGAAGAAGATGTAGGTAGACCAGTTAGGTAAAGTTGTAATATTATTCTTCCCTTCGATCCAAATTTGAACATCACGCGCGCATTTTCATCTTGAAATTAATAAATAGCCTCTACCATCAAATTTGTCTCCAACAAATTATTCTCTGGAATTTCTATGTAATCATGTCGATTTATCTTGCCTTCACCTCTAACAAATGACCCTAAACCTTTTCAAACTGTACGCCAAACATGATGGGGACCATCACTTCATAAATTGTAAAACAAGATTCATCACTCCGTATTGCCTTTTTCCAAGTGAAGCAACGCTCTAATTTCTTCTTTGTTGGCACCATTTCAATCGGCTTTCTAACTGTTTTTCTGTCAGATTTACATCAGCAATTCCGCCGAATGATACTCATATTCACCAATTAAATACCGATTATCCGGTTAATCGGGTGTTCAATAATTAATTAATCGGCGTTGAAAATTTTCACCGGATACTTTTGATAGGGGAGTGTAAGCCTTCCATGTTTTTGGTAAAAACTTTAATAATAATAATAATAACAAAACTATAATCCCTTTTCAACCCCATTTTTAAAATCAATTTTCACACGGTCTTGAATGCTTATTTATTGCCCAAGCAAGCACAAGAGAGACCACATGAATTAATGAAATCAGAAAAATGGTTAGATGATTTAGACAAGATAGGAAAAAGAGAACGAGGTAGATCTATCATTCATTAAATTATACAGTTAATAAAAGTACAATCATATAAGCACAAAAATATAATATAAACAGATAGATATAGAAGACAAATAGATACTTTGACATGTCTTATAGTAGATCTTTATCTAATTAAGATAGTAGAAACAAATTTTAAAGAGTAAAAATTAAATTCTTATCAGTGTATAAATGAATCAATTACTCAATTTCATGTTATAAATTAAAGGTGCGAACAAGTGTGGCAAGTGATATACATAACATAATTGATAATAATAATTAATATTATAATTTCTTTGCGACATAATGCTTACCTCCTCCCAATTAATGTCATAGAATGTATGTTACACATGCCTCTGTCATTTAATCATATGACACACAATTTGTTAAATTTTAAAAAATTTAAAATATATACAAAATTAAAATTATTCTTTTTATTTTCGAAAAATGACAACAGCTGCTAGACCAACTTTTGATCCTGCCCGAGGAAATGATAGTAAAGCACCAACTTTTCAATATAGTTCTAGAGATCTTTCTGCTCATACAAAACTTAAATATAGGTCAATATCAAAACTTCTTTCATTTTTAAATCATTGTTTTCATTAGACGATTCTTAATATATATTATTATTTATTATTTATTTATAATATATAGACAAACAGGACAAATCACACAAGAAGAACTTGAAAACGTAGATCTTAAAGAAGAACTTTTAAAAGCAGAGAAAGAGCATTTCGAAAATGCACAACTTTTAGATAAAAAACATGGCAATGACGACGATGAAGGCCAATCAATAAAACGAAGAAAACTTTTATTAGAATCAACCGCACAATTAGATGCAGATGATGGTGATAGTGATGAGGAAGATAGCGATTCTGATAGTAATAGCTCGAGGTAAGAATTTTTTCTCTTTCTTCTTTAGAAAACTAATTATATTTTGCTTGTGTGTGTGTATATATATATTTATATAGTGAAAACATTAACGTAATTAATTAATTAGTGATGAGGAAGAAGAAGACGATACTGCAGCTTTATTAGCTGAATTAGAGAAAATAAAAAAAGAGCGAACAGAGGAGAGAGAGCGTCAGGTAAATTAAATAAATAGAATAAATAAAGAAGGGCAAGAAAAGATAAAATATTCTAAATAAATAAGTAAAATAAACAAATTATTTGATTGCTAAAGGAACTTGAGAAATTCAAAGAACGACAAGAAGAAATAATGACGGGAAATCCATTAATTGCAAATAAAGATTTTAATGTTAGAAGAAGGTAAGCTTTAATTTTAGGAGATACATACATACATACATACACACATACATATATTTACTTGTTGTTATTATTTAGGTGGGATGACGATGTCATTTTTAAGAATCAGGCTCGTGGAGTTGAAGATAACCCTAAAAAACGATTTATAAATGATACACTTAGAAGTGACTTTCATCGTAAATTTATGAACAAATATGTTAAATAAATTTGATTTTTTTATTTTTTATTTTTTATTTTATTTGATGTTTGATAATTATCATTATTTAAATAATATTGTGTTAAAGATAGATGAAAGAAAATAAATAGATTGTATGATTGAATTGGAATCATTTAATAAATAGTAATTATGTGGCTCTTCTGAATGTGCCATTCACAGCATTTTGTAAAGTCATCTGTAATGTTGATGCAAAAGTGTTTGCTAAATTTACAGCACCACTTTCAGCAACCATTGCCATTGTACCTGTACGTTTCTCCAATTTGTTTGCTTCATTAACTGCTCCTACAACCTCTTGAATTATTGTTTCCAATACCGAAATTATCTCTAAAAATATGTAATGAACCTAATACCAGCCAAATCAAGCTCACAAACATTTTAAAAACATCCATAACATTCTATATTATGATTTCCCTTTTATTCTCTAGTAATAACTTTGATATAAATCATATACTTGATGGATATACATAGAATAATTTTAAATACCGTGAATATATCATTTGAACATAATATTATGATTGGAAAAACAGCAGAATGTCTTAAGACTAGGAGGAATGTCAGACAAGAAATTCCTCAAAAGATTGGTAATCTAATTATTTAGGGGTAAAAGAACTCTGATATACTCTGAAAAAGGTCTCGGAGTGTATTTTATATTTCAATGTTGGATGTTATAATACGTGTATAAATTATATGGTAATTTGGATCAATTAGTTTAAATGTATCGTTTCTTTTTATTTTATATTTTAAGAAATAATATAATGTATATAAAAAATAAATCTAATTAATGAATAAAAAGTTTGATTAATCAATTCACTCGATTCTCGATATTTTTAACCTTATCAACTTTATTAACCTCCCTTCAATAACTTGTCCCATGTTATAATAATTATAAATAATCAATTTAAATTAATGAATTTCAATTGATTAATTAAAATTGTGTTTCAGATAACAGAGTCAATATCAAGATCACTTAATAAACTATCATTACTCTTTAAATTTAATTTAGCAATTTCATCATTTAATATTCTACTTGTATGGTATGCTAATGGATGTGATTTATAAATTTGTTGTGAATTACTATTACCATTACTATTATTGTTATCACTACTACTGTTACTACCACTATTATTACCATCACCACCACCAATATCACTGCTATTTTTGTAAATTTCTTGTGATTTATTAATAGAAAATTGGAGAAGCTCTTGAGCAGTTGGTCTTTTGATTGGATCCACATCCCAACATCTCTGCATCATTTGCACATATATCTATCATTAAGTGATGATTATGAGCTCTATTATCAAATGGTGGATGGCCTGCAAATATTTCCCACATTAACATTCCAATGCTATAAATATCTGTTGCTTTTGTGTTCTTATTTCCTTTAAATAACTCAGGTGCAACATATGATACAATTCCATAGACTTTATCTGATGATTTTTCATCGACTGGTCCACATAATCCTAAATCTGTGATATAACTGTTGTCTCCTCTGCCCATTAATACATTACCACTATGTAGATCACAATGGAGCAAATCTTTTTTATGTATTTGTTTTAATGCCATACATAAATATCTAAAAATATTAATTCTACCTTTTAATGTTAAATTTGAATAATTTGTTTGTAAATAATTTCTTAAATTTCCTTCTGGATAATAATTTAGAGCGATTGCATAATTTCCATTATCTGGGAATTTAGTTATACCATAACAAGGAACAATTAAATTTGATTTGATTTTACAATAATTCAATGCCTGTAATTAATAAAAACAATCAATTGAGAATAAATGGTTTATTTTATTTAATTTATTCTAAATAAGATTAATTACCTCATCAAAAAAGCTTTTTCCTGGATTACTTGAATTATTTAAGCTTTTTAATATTATATATTGTGCTCCAAAATAACTAAATTCCTTTTTATTTTCATCATAATCAGTGATACTTCCTCTTATCCACCCAGCAGTATAAATTGAACTGAATCCACCTTCTGTTAACTTTTTTACATCTTCAAATTGTTCATAAGGTATCCATTCTATAATATGAAGTGGAAGAGATGAAATCTTTTGACATTTTTGAATAAAATTATCAATTATTTCATTTCCAGATGTCCAAGTATCAAAGAGATTCTGTAAGTATAAACTAATACACTTTTCACAAAATTTATCAGAATATCTTGTTGTTTTACAATTTTTACATTTTCTTGGTTCTCCTGATTTATAAATTGCATTCCATAATTCAAAATCATAAATATACTTTTCTCTACAATATTCTTTTTCATTTTCTAAAAGGTTTTTGTTTTCTTTGACTAATTGTAAAAAAAAATCTTTTCTATTTTCTTCGTCAGAAATAGTGGAAAAGGCAGAATAAGCATTATTATACATTTCATCATGGATTTTAAATACCAATTCTCTTCTGTCTACTGTCAATAATTTTACATATGACATATTTTAACCTTTTAGTATTAATGATAATTTTTATTTTTTAATAATTTTTTTTGCCTCTGTCATTTAATCATATGACACACAATTTGTTAAATTTTAAAAAATTTAAAATATATACAAAATTAAAATTATTCTTTTTATTTTCGAAAAATGACAACAGCTGCTAGACCAACTTTTGATCCTGCCCGAGGAAATGATAGTAAAGCACCAACTTTTCAATATAGTTCTAGAGATCTTTCTGCTCATACAAAACTTAAATATAGGTCAATATCAAAACTTCTTTCATTTTTAAATCATTGTTTTCATTAGACGATTCTTAATATATATTATTATTTATTATTTATTTATAATATATAGACAAACAGGACAAATCACACAAGAAGAACTTGAAAACGTAGATCTTAAAGAAGAACTTTTAAAAGCAGAGAAAGAGCATTTCGAAAATGCACAACTTTTAGATAAAAAACATGGCAATGACGACGATGAAGGCCAATCAATAAAACGAAGAAAACTTTTATTAGAATCAACCGCACAATTAGATGCAGATGATGGTGATAGTGATGAGGAAGATAGCGATTCTGATAGTAATAGCTCGAGGTAAGAATTTTTTCTCTTTCTTCTTTAGAAAACTAATTATATTTTGCTTGTGTGTGTGTATATATATATTTATATAGTGAAAACATTAACGTAATTAATTAATTAGTGATGAGGAAGAAGAAGACGATACTGCAGCTTTATTAGCTGAATTAGAGAAAATAAAAAAAGAGCGAACAGAGGAGAGAGAGCGTCAGGTAAATTAAATAAATAGAATAAATAAAGAAGGGCAAGAAAAGATAAAATATTCTAAATAAATAAGTAAAATAAACAAATTATTTGATTGCTAAAGGAACTTGAGAAATTCAAAGAACGACAAGAAGAAATAATGACGGGAAATCCATTAATTGCAAATAAAGATTTTAATGTTAGAAGAAGGTAAGCTTTAATTTTAGGAGATACATACATACATACATACACACATACATATATTTACTTGTTGTTATTATTTAGGTGGGATGACGATGTCATTTTTAAGAATCAGGCTCGTGGAGTTGAAGATAACCCTAAAAAACGATTTATAAATGATACACTTAGAAGTGACTTTCATCGTAAATTTATGAACAAATATGTTAAATAAATTTGATTTTTTTATTTTTTATTTTTTATTTTATTTGATGTTTGATAATTATCATTATTTAAATAATATTGTGTTAAAGATAGATGAAAGAAAATAAATAGATTGTATGATTGAATTGGAATCATTTAATAAATAGTAATTATGTGGCTCTTCTGAATGTGCCATTCACAGCATTTTGTAAAGTCATCTGTAATGTTGATGCAAAAGTGTTTGCTAAATTTACAGCACCACTTTCAGCAACCATTGCCATTGTACCTGTACGTTTCTCCAATTTGTTTGCTTCATTAACTGCTCCTACAACCTCTTGAATTATTGTTTCCAATACCGAAATTATCTCTAAAAATATGTAATGAACCTAATACCAGCCAAATCAAGCTCACAAACATTTTAAAAACATCCATAACATTCTATATTATGATTTCCCTTTTATTCTCTAGTAATAACTTTGATATAAATCATATACTTGATGGATATACATAGAATAATTTTAAATACCGTGAATATATCATTTGAACATAATATTATGATTGGAAAAACAGCAGAATGTCTTAAGACTAGGAGGAATGTCAGACAAGAAATTCCTCAAAAGATTGGTAATCTAATTATTTAGGGGTAAAAGAACTCTGATATACTCTGAAAAAGGTCTCGGAGTGTATTTTATATTTCAATGTTGGATGTTATAATACGTGTATAAATTATATGGTAATTTGGATCAATTAGTTTAAATGTATCGTTTCTTTTTATTTTATATTTTAAGAAATAATATAATAATATTTAATAAATCGATTAATTGATTGATTGATTATATACAGAATTTAATTACTTACCGAAAATATTGTCAGAACAACAACAGCAATTATGCTACCACCATCCATGGTATTAACTAGGGTTCTACAATCCATACCATCAGAACGGAGACACAAATTTCTACTATGCTGTATTACAATAGGACCCCGGGCCCTATTACAATTCACATTTATATATTTGTCGATCATTTTGCTATACGTATATATTAACTAGCAATTAAGAAATGCAGCAAGTGATTCATCAGTTGGTACTTTATAGGGATGGGTTAAGGAGCCGCTCCTGAGCGGCTCTGGAATCGAACCGATATAGAGCTGAGGAGCGGCTCTGTTTGATGATCTTTCCTTTTAAGGAAAGATCTTTGAATATATCACGTGAATTTGTTTTCTTCAAAATAATAAAAAAACGAATAATTGATTCAATCAGGGTTGATGTAAAATTTCTCTCGGTGGAAGTTGCCTATTTCTTGATCATCAAAATTTTCTTGTATTTGTTCATCCATTTTTATTATTAATATTAATTATAAATATTAAAACAAAGGTGAGAAAACTTCTGAGTTGATTTGGATGCCAGCCTTTTTATAATAG